AAAAAACAGAGACTCAAAAACAGAGACCCAAGCATTATCTCTAATAAAAACGTAGAAATTACAAAGTTCGCTAGGAAAAATTGTACAATTCATACAAACCACATTAAAAATGTGTAAAAGCCAGCAAACGTCGTCCGCAGGAGCAGCTCCGTGACAAGTCCGTAGGATGTATCTACAGGATGAATAATACTAAATAACAATGGCGAGCCACTAACCACGTACAGTAACATGACAGGATAAATACAAATAATTTATTGTTTCAGATTCAGTTTCAGTTTCATTTATTTCCAAATAATATTTAAGTATATACAGTACATTAAGTGGAGGAGGCTAAATAAGTTCTTGTATAAATTATAAAGAACTTTATATCCCCCCTTTAAATAACTGATAATTAACATACAAAATTCACATGACAAAATCAAAGAATTATAGTAGTAAATTAAGAAAAGAAAATGATGTAAGTTTAATATAAATAATTGCTATAATTTCTATCTTCTGTCCAGGTATATATACAGTAGAACCTCGATTTTACGTACGGTACGGGACCGGAGGGCATACGTAAATCGGGGGATTCGTAAAATAGAGGTTGGGTTAAATTTGTGGTAACCTTTGACCTAATATGTACGTAACGCTCATTAAACGTATGTATGAACAAACGATGTTACCTAGGCTAGACCTAGCCTCTAGGCCTACAAATAAAACCATTTGTTTAGTGTTTTTATTCATCACTTTACGATGTCATAATAAAGTGTTCAAATAAAACCATGTGTCTAGTGTATTAATTCATCACTTTATATCTTTTATTTAACTAAAGAACATGAAAATATTGTAAGATTACCTATATGACAAAGGAATAACTTGGGAATTCCCCTTCATGCCTATTCTAAACAACAGAGCTCTGGTGTTGTCATGGGCCTGTTGAGACAAACTAAAACCATGTGCGCTGCACTGGGCGAGCCAACCAATTAGCGTTCGTGTACATGAGACAGCAACCATGGGCAATGCACTGGGCGAGCCAACCAATTTGCGTTCGTGTACGAAACTATGCCTACCCAGCTTCGTGTAAAAAAATTCGACCAGACAAGATTTACCATGGTTTGCCACACGAAGCTAAGGAGGAAAGCAATTATTTTGAGCACCATTGGTAGTTGTTCATCTCACTCAGTTCACATGGTTTTTGATTACAACCCGATATTAGACTCAATCAACGTTGCTGTTTAATGAAAATATGTTGCATTATGGTTTGTTTATTGTTATAGTTATTTGTTATAGCCTTTTTACTTATGGTTGCTCTGAAAAGGGCCGTTTGTTTTGAATATTTTCGGTTTTTTTTATGACGTCATCATCGATACGAGGCGTACGTAAAACCGAGGGTTCGTATAACTGGGTTACGTAAAAACGAGGTTCTACTGTATACCCAAATGTGTATATAAATCATCAAAGAAAGGCAAACAGTGCTCAAACAAAGGACATTATGGTACATGCTCATTGTCGCTCCAAAAGAATGCGAGTGACGCTACATTATGCACCAACCCACTCGAACACTGCACCCACCCCCTCCACCGATAACTTATATATTCAGTACCTACATATAAAATTGTATGTATAAAATATGATAAAACACGTAGAGGGAAGCAGACCCACCCGAAAAATTATAGAATATAAAGAAAATATCCCTGGGCACAACCCAGTGATTTGAAATTGGCTGCGCCCAAAAGATTCCGTCCCCACTTCCTCAACAAAACCTGCAGTAAATTCACCACCATCCACATGTTTCTTTAACAATAGTGTTTTAACAAGAATAATAATAGGTCGTGCTGCCCATGCGATATTGCATTATGAGAGATATTTCACTTTATTTATTAGTCATTCACATTAAAAACCAGTTACAGTTTGTGGCCAAAGGCCAAATTTTCTGCAAATTTTACATAGTTCAAATCATCAATTGATTAAAACACATAAAATTCCACTAAGAGGGAAAAAGATTAGGTATTATATAACATTATAATTTTGTATGGTAGGTATTGTCTTAGTTTATTCATTATTCCTAAATTTTTGAGAAACAATATTACTGAATTGGTTAATATGGGATTTTCAGTTTAAATGGGAGTCAATTGTGACACCTAAGAATTTAGTTTCTGTAACGCAGGTAATGTTTTTATTGTTTATATAGATCATCTTTAAATTTTGTAGATTTGCATTTATTCAGCATTATATAACATGTTTTTGAGACATTCATAGATAATTTATTTATTTTCAACCAATCTGGGACCTTTATTAATTCACAATTTATTATTTCGAAAAGTAAAATTTTATTTTTATGAGAATAAAAAATATATGTGTCATCAGCAAATAAAATAAAGTTCAATAATTTAGAACAATTGGAAATACCATTCACATAAATTAAAAAATGATGGGCCTAAAATTGATCCATGTGGAACACCAAAAGATATAGGACATAAAGGAGATTCAACAGAGTTTATACAAGTAAATTGTTGGCGATTTGATAAATAGCTTTTAATTATCAAGTTAAAGACCTGTGATACCATAATATTCGAGGTTTAAGGATATTGTGATTTATAAATCAAGAAAAACACCAATTGTTGCCTCATTTTTGCTTAGGGAATCAGTTATGTTATAGATATTGAGTAGAGCAAGGTCTGTTTAATATTGTTTCCTGGAAGCATATTGTCTTTTGTAAAGTATAATAATGTTCATTAAAAAAATATAAAAATCTGTTATAGATTATCTGTTCAAAAATTTTTGATAAACATGGAAGCAAAAAAATTGGTTTATAATTATTGAACCAGTGTAAATTATCTTTCTTATATATGGGAATACCCTTAGCAATCTTAAGAGCGTTAGAAATACCATTAAGTAAAGAAATATTTAAAATATATGATAAGGGAGTAGAAATTATGGACAAAATTGATTTTATTACTTTATTTGAATAACCATCAGCACCAAGACTTTTCTTAACATTTAAATTGGATATTAAAATTACAAACCTCTTCCTGTGTTGTAGCTGTGAGGAAAAATACAGTTATTTAAAGTTTGATGTAAGAACGTTGTAAAAATCTTAATTTTTTTGTACACTAATACTACGAACGATGGTTGTAAAATAGTGCGAAGCAATAGAATAGGTATCTATCAGTTATTTTAATTTCATTATGTATAAAATATGAGAGCATAGATATTTTAAGTTTTACTAAGGACTGAGTTTATAAATGTCCATGTTTTTTGAATATTTGATTTGTAATAACTAAACTTTTCAATGTAGTATTTTAGCTCCGATGAGGAGCTCTAGGAGTACCCTGTGATTGTGTGCCTTTTCTGCTGATTGTGTGCTTTTTTCACGGCTGAGTGGGGTTCAGCACGGACTGTACTTTACTGCCATTAGCACTTGTATACACATCGTGTGGATGGCGCATTTGGTTTAACCGTGCCATCTATGCGATGGTTCTAAGGAATTGAAAGCTGTGAGTTCGAATCGCATCTTGTATTCAATTGTTAATTTTTTTTCAAGACATTAATTTTGTACAAATTATTTAATCTAATTATTTGAAAATTTTTTTCTTATGATTAGGTCTAAATTGATTGATTAATTAATTAATTACTTAATTAATTACTTGATCTTTTTTTTTAAGTGCACCACCAATACCAAGGACTGTACATACTGCCATTACTACTAATATGGCATGTCATATAAATGGCATGGTCTGTTAACAATGTGTTCTATTGAACCAAAGGTTGTGAGTTTGAATCGTGGCACTCAATTTTGTTTCCCCCTAATTTTAAGGCTTTTTTTAAACAATTTTAAGACATTTTAATTTTGTACAATTGAACATTCTAATTATTCAAAAATTTCTATACTATTATCGCTTCTAATTTCTTTTGTCAAACTGCTCTCAATTATCTTAGAATGTTCATTTATAAACAAAAAAATTAAACAGGGAGGCGCAATTTGAGTTCACGACCTTCAGTTATTTACAACATAGTGTTGACTGATCCTGTCATTTTTACGATGTGTCTTGTTGGTGGTAGCAATTAATGGCAATTATGAACCCATTCCAATAACCCAATATAATATTACTAAACTGGGTAGGCAATGATGTAATTTTTGCACATGAACACTAGCTGTTTGTCTCACTCAGTGCACATGGTTTTAGTTTCTCTCGTAGGCCCAGACGACACCGCATCCATGAAGGGAAATCCTACAATATTTTTCATATTTTTTAAATTTTAATAAAAGATACAAAGTGATGAATGAATACACTAGACACATGGTTCATAACATACGTTTATTGCATCTTTATAGTATTAGGTCGAAGTCATCACAAATTTAACCCAACCTTAATTTTACATATCCCCGGATTACGTATGCCCTCCAGTCTCGTGCCATACATAAAAATGAGGTTCTGCTATATGTCTAACCTTAAGCAATGAAATATTTAGCATTTGATCTATCTGAATGCAACTAACATGAGAGAGGATAGGAGGTTTCCAGTTGTCATGATTATTAATGCTGTATACAGTTGAACTTGCCTGTCGAATCCAAAATGCCATTGAAAAATTGTTCGACTTAGATAACATTCGACTTAAATAACATTCGACTTACAGGTTGTTAAATAATGGAAAACACAACAATTTGGCATGTAAAAAAAATTTGACTTAGAAATTATTCGAGTTCAGGCAAAGTCGACTTTTAACTGTATTCCGAAAATACCATCAGTTAGGCAAGACTTTTTTATACCTTGTTTAGCTAACCTGCTGACTACAAATATTGATGATTTCGAATAAAAATTTAATTTTCTTTTTGGCCAACTAGCGCACCCGCTGTGACGAACAAGTGGAAATTTTAGAAAAAAAATTAAGTTTTTCTTTATTTTTATTATGCCCTCTGCTGCCCTGAAATCTCCAAAGATAAAATATGTATATTTCTTCTTAATTATATAAATTTGCAGCATTTAACCATCCTATTTTATTTTTATTTTCTCCTCCATCTGGATGTTTTTGGCAAAACTATTTGCTAAATAAGAAAGCAAAATTTTATTTTTATTTTTATTTCGTCGCTCTTCCGATGATCTTTAAAAATGTTGGATTGGTATCAATATATTTTACTAGTCGAGCAACTCATTTTGCTAGTTATATTTTTGATGACTAGCAAATTTTAGAATAGGTTGCTTGTGGCTAAAAAAGTAAATTTCTAGGTCTGCTTTGAGGTAAAAAAACAAACATTTTACTTTCATTTCCTGTCACTCGTCGGAACAAGGAATAAAAAAAGTCTTGTCTTATTACAATCGATCCAACAAAGGAAACAACAATGTATCAACAGTAGATTCATACAAATTGATAAAATTTAAGGGGGTGGGAGGAGGAAGCCTGTTTATCCCTCATCTAAATCTACCCCTGATCAAGTTTATAATTATACAGTATTGACATAATCCATCCAATCACTCGCATGTATAGCAGAAGTGCATGAACCGAGTTAGACATGGCTCTGTATATTCCTTTTCGATCGATGGACTTTTCTGTATATTTAGGCTTATTTATTATACAATTACTTACTAATTAAAAAGTATATTCTGACTTTGTATGCCTGGGTCTTTGTTTATGACTAATTACAAAAACAAAAATAAAACCTGGAATTTGAAAACAGACTCGACCCAGGAAAACGAAAAGAGACCCTAGCTTTCATGTGATTATTGCTGACCCTTATTCTAATTATTCAGGACCCTGATAGATTTCATTTTCACACTCTTTATAATCGGTTTCATTCACTTGAGAATAAACCTGTTGTTCATTTTTGAGCTTTTCACAATTTGTGTTGGCTCTGTTAACATTATCTATAATTTGATCCAAATCCTTCAGTTTTGTATTCGATTGTTTCTTATTAGCTACATTAATATCATCGTTGCTTAACATATCACCTCCAACGTATATTTCATTTTCTGTTTCCTGATAATCAGTGCGGAATTCATTGACGTCGATCGCAGCATAATCATGAACTTTATTTTTTAGTTCAACCTGGGGATCATCACTCCTAAATCTAACTGACATATTTCTGCTTTTTGATGTTTGTTGATTTTTAATTCGCTTTCGTTTCAAAAACAAAAAGATTATTATAAATGCAACCACAACACAGAATAGAACACAAATAACTACAATAATGACTGAAGTGCTCTGAGATCCATCATCTTCATCCCTGTTATTCACAACTGGAATTATTCCACTTCCATCTTCATCCCTATTAGTCACAGTTGGAATGTTGCCACTCCCATCTTCTTCATTCCTATTATTCAAAGTTGGAATGCATAAAGTCTTGTTTCCCTTTCCAATGGCATTTTCTGCTTCACATGTTATTCTCATCTCAGATTCAACTTCCATTGGTTTAATGATTGTTAAAACTCCATTTGAAATTGTGAAACTGTCTTTTGGAATACTAGGCTCTATAATCCAGTGTGTTTCATTTACAGGAGGCCTAGCCTCTGCTGTACAGTGGAATGCCATTTGAGATGTTTGTGTGATGTTAATCTCAGGTTTGTAGTTGACAGTGATGGGGCCCATTGAGCAAACGTTGATCTCATTTGTTCCATTTCTCCTTAATTCACAAACAAACATTGCATTGTGGTCTTCTTTTGTTAAAATTAATTTGTGAAAAATGTGGGTTTCATCTAAATAAGTAGGCAAAACTTTTCCATTTCCTGATTTCATAGTTGTAATAATAGTAGGATCTGAATCATTGTGACATGATACTGTTAATGTTTCTCCAATGACATAGTAAGTCTTAATTTCTCCACAAATTGGATTTAGAATTTTCAATCTCTGTATAATCACTTTTGAATTTGCAGAAATAGCAACTGAATTTCCATTTGGTTTAATTACAGAACACATATATAATGTAGTAACATTGCCATCAGATCCAAAATTTATATTATCTGGTATATTAAAAAGAAGAGTAAAGTTCATTCCATCACCAGAAATTGAAAAATTTTCACCAAAACCTCTGTAGACATCCCTGTAGACATCCCTGTTGTCCGAAATATATATGAACTCAGTATTTTCAACCTCAAGCCATCGGACACTGTGGTTTTCAGGTAATTTTTCCACTACACAGGGCAATGTAACCTGCCGTCCTGGGAATGTCCTCACCTCTTCAGGTGGCCTGGTAACAAACGCAACATCAGCAGATGTACAGGAAATCAAAACAATCAAGATGTAAACTATATTATGCATCTTGTCTGTCTCTCCTAAAAATGCCATTGGGCTGCAACTTCTGAATCAAAGAAAATAGTTCACATTAAGCACCCATGGCAAACATTTAAATATTGAATGAATGAATGATGCACTGCTTTCACAGTATTTATATAAGTACATCAGAAATTTGATTTTTGTATGCTACTGTTCTTCAATACAACACAGGGGCGGATCCAGGGATGTCCAAAAGAGGGGCCGAAAGTTGGGCCAATCGAGACACCACTGTCCTAGAGGAACCGCGGGAATTTCCCCCGCAGAATATTTGTGTTCTAGACGCCCAAAAATAACATTTGAGGCGTTCTGGGCTCTAATTTTTTTTTTCTTTTTCTTTTTTTCTTCTTTTTTTTAAACTTTTTTTTCCTCCCAAAATCTGCCCCTGCAACATATCGACGTAAGGTAAGACGGCTTTACAGGAATATAGAAAAGCATTAAAAAGACATTGCTTGGAAACTTACTGTACAATTATAATTTATAAATTACAACATTTTAATAAATTATTTATTTTATTATTGTTTTTGCATACCTTATAAAAAGATAAATTAATTTAATATGGTAAGAAAAAAAATTTTGTATATAATTATATAAAGACACTAAAATTCCGATTGCACATATTTTAAATTTACAAATTAATTAATATTTTTACATTTATAGTTCCTGCTATTGAGCAGAATGTATCGCTATCTGTCATTTTGAAGCGTTTTTCAAACAGGCAAATCCAGGCCTAGGAGAGGAGGCCTACATGAGAAAACATGATTGGCGGCAGTTGGTGTAGGCTTAAGGAAGATCGTATAAGCCGCTGCAAAACAAGTTCGACCGCGATTTATGGAACACTTTGTATAGTATGTTTCAGTCAATTCGATTCATTGAATGACTACTAAATATTCTATTCTGATTATTATAATATGATAAATATGCATAATTACTTACAAAGTCTGTAACCAACAAGAACAAGATAAGCTTTGAGGCTAACTTCTTGACCTCATGTTATTTAAAAATTCATAACTTCATAACAGTTTCGTATACTAATATTTTTTCTTGAAAATGTTTTTTAAAAAACTATTCTATACTACTATGTGGTTTAACATAAATTAAATTCCTCAAAAAAAAAATCCCCCCCCCCCCCTAAAAAAATAATGTACTGTACATAGTCTAGGCCTACTTAATATAGTTTTACTAAAAAGTCTCAGTGATTTTCCTGATTGATGACAAAAGAATGCACAGTATTATACTGTAGTAGTTGTGCTCAGCTTTGGTATTTTCATGAAACAGGTCTCTAACTTCACAATCTACATTGACAAATACCGTACTCGCGCGAATAAGCGCCCGGGCGCTTAAAATATTTTTTGCACTTTCTGAGGGGCGCTTATTCGAATGGGGCGCTTATGAAAACAGAGTGGAAATTGAGGGGGCGCTTATGGAAATAGATGAAAATCAAGGGGTTCTTATGGGAAATTATTTTAATAATTAAAAATTAAAGAGTCACTTTTTGAATGAAAAAAAAGATTATATAAGGACATTACGAATGGTGGTTAGAAAAGATAATCGTCCAGAGAACATGGCCCATAACAAGAATGCGTGAATATTTACATAACAGCAAAATAGCAGATGCAATTAGTGGTGGGTAGTGGTCGTTGGCCATCGGCCGATTGAGATTAGCAAGATGGCAGGACCATTGTGTTTTTCTTGAAAACTCAGAAGAGAATGTGCTTAAGGTCAAAAAAAGAAAAAGAGGAGTAGGACTAGACATAGACAAATATGTAAAAAAATTAAAGTTGGAAATATACTGTCTGTCCAGGGATTGGAGCTCTCATCTGTCCAGGGATCGGAGCTCTCATCTGTCCAAGAGAAATATCCTTATTTTGATATTGACTGAAGAAGAATGTGTTTCCACTCTACAGTTCAAATCATGCCAACAACCACAGTCCAAGGATTGATTGGATTATTGGACTTAAACTAGTCTTAAAATCTTATGAGGGGGCGTTTATTCAAATTAGAAGGGGCGCTTATTCAAACGGGGTGCTTAAGGAAATTTTCTCGTTAGGAGGGACGCTTATTCAAACGGGGCGCTTATTCGCGCGAGTACGGTATACATTTAATTAATTTTTGTAATGTATTTTGCTTTGGCATACAGTATATGGTGCTTAATTTTTGTTGTTGTTAATAAATGTTTTTATCTATGTTAAATTTTTGTTAAGTTATTCATTTACAGACTTCCTGTCATATTTTAGTTAAAACAGTGATAAAAAAAATGTTTTATTAGGACACATGCAGGAAAAATCTTGATATGCGGATAAGTCCCCCCACTCCGCTTGATTTTATTTTGAGATGTCACGCTAAAGAATTATATTTTTTTATTGGCCTTATGTTTGTTTACGTTTAACCAAATGTAGGTTTTTGTTTATGAATATTATATATTTACGTGACTGCGATCATATTTTGCCACCAATCAAAATACAACTCCCACCCACATGCGATGCATGCTGCTACTGTAATTGGTGATCCGCTTCCAGTTTAGTTCAAAAAGTAGCGCACCCTTTATACTGGCAAGCACGACACTTACACACAAACTTGAATAACTTGAATTGGGCGCAAATAAACTTTAATTCCACTATCCGAAGATCGATCAACAATCATGAAATAGCATGAAAGTGAAAGATTAACTGCAATACAAACAAATACAGCGATATAATAATGACTCTTTTTGGTGCAAAATTAACTTCTATAGTATATCATTCTATGGATAAAACTTATAATGACTCATAAGACTTAAAACTTATCATATTGTACGTAAAAAAAAAACACACAAAAAAAAACAACACCTAAATATCATACAGGAGTAAAAGTTCACAGTTCAAATGACATTAAAAAAGGTTATAAAAGTCCTCTTTAAGAGGTCACCGTTATAATTTTCAAAATAATGTAAAATGGTACTGATAGCTACTGTTTGAGATTCCATTACTGAGTGACTGTTTACAATGTTTTTTACATAAGATTTATGGGTGACAATACAAGAAAATTGGAAATGCTCTATAAATTGTTTACTTACTGTAGAAAATGATGATTTAATATATCTTCAAAGTAAATAATGGATGACAGTACAACAGAACTGTACAAATGCTCTCTCCTCTTTGCCCATTTCTCTGTCCTTCGAAATATTTTGCATTTCAAAGTTTTCAGTCCAAGCCCATTGGACTATGTGGTAATTTGGTAATAGATTCTCTAAAACACATGGCAGCGTAACATTCTGTCCTGGAAAAGTTCTCACCTTCTCTGGTGGCTTGGTAACAAACTTAACATCACCGAATGTATGCGAGAGTAATGAAATTATAATAATCAGGATGTAAACATGACAACGCATCTTGTGTATCTCTCCTGCAACTGATCTGCCAAATTTAATTTAAAAATTTAGTCAGATTTCTGTGTCCAAAATGTGAAATATTGTAACAGAATGTAGTTTTACACTTGTTGGCTCTGCAACAGGTTTGCAAATTTTAATCAACAAAAAAGTGAAATTTCTGTGTCAAAAATTTAAAGTATTGCAACAGAATATTCTATTCACTTGTTTTCGTAATGTTGAAGAAAACACTTGAATGTCCTCCAAACTTAACTGGAAATATTAATTGTTCACTTACTGCAGTAGAATAATGATTTAAATGTCTATATTCAGTGTTAAAGCAGTTTCTGAATTATTACTGTAACTTTGTTAGACCTTCCCAGGTACACTGTATGTTAATTCCTAAAAGGTGCGAAAGTTCCGTCTACTTTTACTGACTACTCAATCAATAAAAAATCTTCAGCAATTCTTCTTTATATCAGTGTGAGACATACTCTGAGCTATGTCAAAGAAGTATAACCTATATAGCCTCTGCCAGTGAGCTATTGCTTCCTCTGTCATATCATGTAGGAAAGAATGTAGGTATGTACTTAATGTTTTTCTAACTACTTCCTTGTTTAATGTGTGCTAGTAGTAGTAGTATACTGATCTATCCTGGGCCAGCTGGTGTCTTGAAAACAGAGACCTTAGACCCATTTTAAAATATACACCTACTCAAAAATAAAAACCCATCTTGGGTTGAGTGCGGATTATGGTTTTCAAAATGCCGGGTCTCTGTTTTTGTAGTTGATACTCGAAAAAACAGAGACCCAGGCATTATCTCCAATAAAAACGAAGAAATTACAAAGGTCGCTAGGAAACATCGTACATTTCAAACAAACCACATTAGAAATGTATAAAAGTCAGCAAATGTCGTCCGCAGGAGGAGCTCCGTGACAATTCGTTTTGTATGGTGTTTCTACAGTATCAATGGCCAGCCACAAACAGATGTGTATAAGAGACAGCTTCCATCCTCTTCATTATTCACAGTTGGAATGCTCAAAGTCTTGGTTCCCTTTCCAATAGTATTTTCTGCCTCACATGTTATTTTCGTCTCAGACACAACTTGCAATGGCTTTAATTTTAAGACATTGTTTGAAATCACGAAACTGTCTTTTGGAATACTAGACTCCACAATCCAGTGTGTTTCATTAACAGAAGGCCTAGCCTCTGCTGTACAGTGGAATTCCGTTGCTGATATTTGTGTGATGTTTATCTCGGGTTTGTAGTTGACAGTGATTGGGCCTATTGAGCAGCTTTTGATCTCATTTGTTCCATTTCTTCTTGATTCAAATTTAAATTTTGCTCCATGGTCATTTTTAGTTACCTTTAAATTGTGAATAGTGTGGGAACCATTAAATTTGGTAGGCAAAACTTCTCCATTTTCTGATTTTAAAGTTGTAATGATAGTAGGATCTGGATCATTGAAACATCCTAATGTTATTGTATCTCCAATGACATAATAAGTCTGAATTGATCCACAAATTAGAATTTTAATTGGAGGTTGAAGTGGGGGTTGAGTTGTCTGTTGAATTGGCTGTTTCTGTATAATGACTTTTGAATTTGCTGAAATATTACTTACATTTTCTTCTGGTTGAGTTACAGTACATGTATAAAATGTGGTAACTTTGAGATCAGATCCAAAATTAAAGCTATCTGGTATATTAAAGAGGAGAGTATAGTTCATTCCATCACCATAGATTGCAAAATTTTCACCAATATTATCAAGATTAGTTGTGATTACATGCCTGTTATTTGAAATATGGTTTATTCCACTGTTTTCAATCTGAAGCCAACGGACTCTGTGGTTTTCATTAAAGTTTTCCACTGCACAGGGCAATGTAACCTGCCGTCCTGGGAATGTCCTCACCTCTCCTGGTGGCCTGGTAACAAATGTAACATCTGCAAATGTACAGGAAATCAAAACAATCAAGATGTAAACTATTTTATGCATCTTGTCTGTGTTTCCTAAAAATGTCATTGGACTGCAACTTCTGAATCAAAGAAAATAGTTCACATTAAGTACTCATGCCAAACATATAAATATTGAATGAATAAAGGAACGAATGAATGCACTGTGTTTCACAGCTTTTATGTAACATGATAAATACATCAGAAATTTGCTTTTGGTGCGCTATGAATTTTCTATACAACATATAAACAAAAGAAAAGATGGGTTTAGAAAAAAAATATATAATAACATTAAAAAGACATCATTGCTGGAAAAATTACTGTAAAATTATAGTTTATAAATTACAACAGCATATCTTTTAATTTTTTTAGTATTTTTTATTATTTTTGCATACATTATAGAAATATAAATTAATTTAATATGGTAAGAAAAAAAATTGTGTATATAATAATATAAAGACACTAAAATTCCGATTGCACATATTTTAAATTTACAAATTAATTAATATTTTTACATTTATAGTTCCTGCTATTGAGCAGAATGTATCGCTAAAAAAAAAAAAAAAAAATCTTATGAGGGGGCGCTTATTTAAATTAGAAGGGGCGCTTATTCAAACAGAGCGCTTAAGGAAATTTTCACGTTAGGAGGGGCGCTTATTCGAGAGGGGCGCTTATTCGCGCGAGTATGGTATACATTTAATTAAGTTTTGTAATGTATTTTCTTTGGCATACAGTATATGGTGCTTAATTTTTGTTGTTGTTAATAAATGTTTTTATCTATGTTAAATTTTTGTTAAGTTATTCATTTACAGACTTCCTGTCATATTTTAGTTAAAACAGTGATAAAAAAAAGTTTTATTAGGACACATGCAGGAAAAATCTTGATATGTGGATAAGTCCCCCCACTCCGCTTGATTTTTTTTTGCGATATCACGCTAAAGAATTATATTTTTTTATTGGCCTTATGTTTGTTTACGTTTAACCAAATGTAGGTTTTTGTTTATGAATATTATATATTTACGTGACTGCGATCATATTTTGCCACCAATCAAATTACAACTCCCACCCACATGCGATGCATGCTGCTACTGTAATTGGTGATCCGCTTCCAGTTTAGTTGAAAAAGTAGCGCACCCTTTATTTTTCATTTCAAGTGGAGTGATGTTGGTACATCAGATATTACAGAAAATATAAGCTATCTTTTACGGATTCAAGTTACTTTTATGTGTATTAAACCACACATTCAAGTCACACCATTTAAAAAACTGTTTACTTGTATGTTTTGTTGTATTACTTGGGCCTATCATACAGAGACAAAAAAATTGACAAAATTATAAACAAGCAGCACCACCACAAAATGTCAGAACGCTAAGTACAGAATTTAGATTGTCTCAACATATGCCAACATCCATCATTTCGAGATCTAGTTTCTGGTATACTTGCTCCTTAGATGTTGCTTTTCTTTACTGAATTTCGAAAGGGAAAAAAATTTGTAACTGCTGAATTTAGAGAAATTGCCCTTCAAACTTGGTGAATTTTTACACAGCCTAGGCCTAGCTTAAGGCTTAGGAAGAATAGGGCTTTCTGTCATCTGGCCTAGCCTAAGAGCAAGTGAGTGTGTACTACTATCATAATGGTTCTTCATAGTTCCATACCTACTGCTGACATCCTCCGAGCTCTTGCCATGAAAACAAAATGTTGGCAAATGCCCTAAAAAAAGACTCAAAAATGGTAGTAGGGCTACAGTATATATATTTTAATGCGTACGGCTTACATTTTTTATCTAACCGAAAAAACAAACATACATGTTGAGCCACTCGCACACACATTTCACACCTGCCTCATCCCAATAGTTCCATTGTGACCTAAGGTCACAAAGGAACTATAAATGTAAAAATATTAATTAATAATCTTAATATTTAATTAATTTGTAAATTTAAAATATGTGCAATCAGAATTTCAGTGTCTTTATATAATTATATACACTTTTTTTGTTTTGTTCTTACCACCATATTAAATTAATTTATATTTTTATAAGGTATGCAAAAACAATAATAAAATAAACAATTTATTTAAAAAAATGTTATGTTGTAATTTATAAATTATAATTGTACAGTAAGTTTTCAAGCAATGTCTTTTTAATGTTTTTACACAAATAGGAATTATAGATTTTTCACTTACAGTAGAATGTTTTCATTACATCATCATGTATGTTATTCTTAAAAATTTCAAGTTTAAAATTCAAATTTTATTCATATTTATTCAAATACACCTCCAAGAAGGAAAACAAAAACGCACAAAAAAAACAACACCTAAATATCATACAGGAGTAAAAGTTCACAGTTCAAATGATTTCAAAAAGGAGATAAAAGTCCTCTTTAAGAGGTCACCGTTATAATTTTCAAAATAATGTAAAATGGTACTGAGAGCTACTGTTTGAGATTCCATTACTGAGTGACTGTTTACAATGTTTTTTACATAAGATTTATGGGTGACAATACAAGAAAATTGGAAATGCTCTATAAATTGTTTACTTACTGTAGAAAATGATGATTTAATATATCTTCAAAGTAAATAATGGATGACAATACAACAGAACTGTACAAATGCTCTCTCCTCTTTGCCCATTCCTAGATCTATAAAATCTGTAGCAATTGATTCTTATACAGGCAAGTTGTAATAAATGCTTTGACCTGTTTTTCTGAAATATTCTACCTATTATTAGGTTGTCAACATGCTCTGCTTATACACCTATGAGTGTTAAAAAAAAAGTACAGTTGAGGTATAATTTCCTCAGTATGTTGTATTATTACCACTTCCTTGTTTGTTTGTAACCTCTACCCTTGGAAATGCAGATGGTTAAATTCTACCCTGAATCACCATAAAGTAAAATTTAACCTGGACCACTGCAGATTTTAAATCCTAATAAGCAATTAATAGAGCTCTGCATAGTACACTATAGGAAAATTATTATATACGAAGGTTAGATTTAATGCTTGAAAAAATTTCCTGAGGGCCTCAAAGGAAACTTTTAAATGCATTAAATCTAACCTAAGTATAATAATTTTCCGTTAGTGTACGATGCATGCTCTACTAATTGCTTTATAAGTCAATCGCCATCGTTTAATGTTAGTTTTTGATAACCAACTGTATTGTTGTAGCAGTTGTACATTTCTGGCTATGCGTATGCGGATTTGTGCTCCTGCAGTACATGTTAACTAAACATCAGCAGTACAGTACTGATACGATGAATAACTATTGTAATTTGTATTATATTAGAAGAACTTGTTTGTAATGCTATTTCGATAGTCATTCGTCAAAGAAATAAACATTTCAGCATTTGAGGGAGAATACAGTCACCGACCTTTTTGGTCGGTGCAGACAGGTAAAAATCGTGCGATGATTTCATAACTACGCTAGGCGACAGCCTAGGCTAGAGTTGTAGCCTCGGCGGCCTCCTGTCTGACTGTAGGCCTACATCTAATCTCGTACCTTGAGTCTTTAAAATAGGTCTAGAATATTCTTAATAAACATTCCCTTTGCTTTGTTCATTAGAGTTCATTGATTCAATAACTTTCTTAATCGTTCATACTCAATATTGAATTTGAAGTAACTTTCTTTGGGTTCTAATTAAGTTTGTTTTACGAAAGTAATTTTCAATTACAGCACAATTCAATATTCATCGCGGTGTGCGATGTCTTTGCCGTGACAAAATGAAGATTTTTCAATAGTGGAAGCCAAGCGTCCACTAATTAAAAAATTATTGGACTGTGGGGGATAGGCAAATAACATTGGGAGTTGCAGTGATGACGTCACGATTGACTTATAATAGTAATTAGTACAGTGTATGCATTGGTGCATTTATGTACTTATTATTCATTACGATGGGTTTTTTTTTTGGTATGTTTATTTTTCTAATTTATCTTTATTGGAAATATTATGTAATTTTTAATACAGTAGGCTTAATTTGTGTTTTTCTATACAATTTACATTTTAACACGTTTGTGTCCAGCGATGATGCTGAGGGTTCTAGGGATGACTATTCTTGTCAAAATCGGGTTAACATGCTATCCTTTATTACTTCATTGTTATACATTGTATAAATAATTATAGGCTGGTAGTTCATGCAAATAGCATGTATGTTTGTTGTGTTAAGTTGCTGGCTGTACAAACGATTGCATGCAGGGCTATCATCCAAACATATATCAACCCATGGAAAAAGTGGATGAGAAAACTCGTACCTGGGGCATAGGCAGACTTCTCAAGTACTACAGAACATCCATGGTTGCTATGGAAATTTTGCCTATTACGGATGTACGGAGATAAACAAAAATACTACGGAAATTTGTCATAGACCTAGACCCATAAATAAATAGGTTTATAAGTCTACAACAATGACTTTTCTATCGGGTTCATTGGTTACATTGTTCCTAGAAAACTTAAGCTTGTCAAATTGCTATATTGTTGTGAAAACAAAGAAAAAAGTGGCCTTACGTCTTTATCATATCCCATTTCCTTGAAATCTGCCCATACAAAAAAATTCTATAGAACTGTATAGACC